ATGTCCTAGATTTGTATGTTATATTGACTTCGGTCAACACGGTCAATTAGACAGAAACTAAATAAATTAATCAGTTAAAAATGAGAGGAAATACTCGTTAGTAGTGAGAAACACAATAATATATCAGTAAAGTTAAAATTCAAAAGAAAATCTTTCGGAAACTTTGTTAATAATTATCATGAGTTGAGAGTACAATAGAGTGTTTCCTCTGATTTAGATGTAGATGAGAAAATTCCTATTTGCTTTAAACATTATGTCTCAGTGTATAGCTTGGATGATCAATATGACAGACAAGTGTAATTCTTAAGCAAATATTATTTTGTTTACCTAATGCTTATACATTTTTAACGGGTTAATTCTATTCAATCCAACCGGTTGAAAGACATAATTGTGTAATATGACCTAATGTAGGCATAAGTCAGGAGTGGAGATATTAGTTCTTTACAACATAATTGTCCCAGGACTTCAGTTATTGACAACCCTAATGTGTCACAATAGACCAATAAGGAAGCAAGGACCAGGCAGGTGTAGAGGATAATCCAGAGCCAGGATCAATTACTGAGGATCAGGCTTAGCTAACCCTTCCTGCAGGCTTACGTCAGAGCTGAGTCTGCAAACTGAAAATCGTTCCGGGTATTACAAAGCTGTCTGGTAACATTGTAACATTAATGGTTATTTGTTTTTTATAAAACAAACTACGATCATTATTAGGACGTAGAGCAGATCTGGGCCCATGCGCTATCGAGTTACGCTGGTTAGAGTTCAAATGTTATAATCGAAATTTTCCTTGATTTTACAGACAATTCTTAATTTAATCTCAGATTCAGAATTTAACAATTGAATTAACAACCCCTAAGAAAAAGTTTTTAAATTCCTTAATTTTTATCATATTGATATGACCGTAGTAATACTGTACTAGAAAAGTATTGAATTATTATGCGTGATCATCCATTGCATATCATTTGTTGAGACTCAATTCCAGACGTTCCACTGTTGCGTCCCGTTGTAACATTTCCTACTTCTTTTCAACTTTTTCTAATAAAATGACCCAGGATTATTTAACAATTTAAAAGTGGATAATCAACCTTTTTCTTGGGTAGGATCTAGTAACAACGTTCAGAGATACATATTAGTGGTGCAAACACCCCCTTACTTTGATACCCGTAGATCAGTGGTAGCATATTGCACTGAGAAATCAGATATTTATGGGTTCGTGAACTTAAATTATTGTGCACGTTTTGCCGTTTGCTTCATTCCCAAGCATGATTATGATTGAAAGAATTGTCCCTCTTCTCTGTGTACCTGTCCAATGTCCAAGTCCCTCACGAGGTATGCCAGGGGTGGAGCGTCAAAACATCGCGTGAGCTTCACTTTACAAGGGCAATTTGTCGAGCGAAGCGTGCGAGACGACTTGCAGCTGCTGCCCGTAAACGGAAACAAACGTTTTGAGCGCACCGGAACATGTCAATCGAACCCTTTGACTCCGGCCGCTCACAATTTTATTTATTATCACCTTCCGACATGGTGCCGGAGCCACTCGGTGGAAACGCCGCCCGTGAGAATCGGGCAACTGAAAACTGTGCTTCTGGAACCCCTCTGCTGTTACTGGCGATGAGTGAGGAGAGAAGCAGCAAAAGATAGTGTACTTCAACAGAGGAATAGGCAGACAATGGCAATGCAGTAGTTTGTAGATTGTACATGTATCAAAGGACTATAAGTGTTTTTAATTATGATGTGTAGATTTTTTGTGTTTGTTTTTCACTTTTGAAAATCGTGTTTTAGTAGTACCGGTATCCAATTTAGTTGAATATAAACTGTGTCTTTTATCTTTTATACACAGGATTCTTCACCTCTTAATTAAATTTCTGTCATTTAGGTTAGGCTACTAACCTTCATCTATTTTACAAAATGTATTTATGAAGTCTTGAATTACATTTTTTTTATCTGGCTGTATGAAAAAATCGTTAAAACGTGAGAGTTTATTTTTTACTGAAGGAAAGTTATTTCGAGATTGAGGTCTTATCTTTATAACATGAACCTTTGGACAATCGACTTGCTTGCCAAATAATACATGTTTCTCACTCAATTTTAAAGTTAATATTCTTTTCAATGGCACATACCTCCCCACATTACCTAGTGTGTTTTTTCCATTTAAAAATTACGTTTGAAAATGGGAGTTTATGTGTGTGCGTATTTTGGAAGATACATAAATAGAGATAAAAATTACCATTTGCTTTATTTTGAACCTTTTAACTGTCGAGATACTCACCTCAAAATTTGAACCGCGATTAATGGATAGTTTTAAATATAATTAAAGCTACCTATTTTAATCTTTTTTTTATTTTGAACATTTTCGCTGTCGAGATACTGGCTACGTCCAAATTCACCAACATTTTTGGGGTCATTTCTAATGTCCAGATTCACCAACTTTCTACCTGTAGCAGGTACGATATTTCTCCCGGCGGGCGGGGAAGGAATTCCGAATAGTTTGCCCTCGCCTGCTCCGTCTCGTCTCGGCGAGAGTGTACTTAGCCCTAATAGTACTGTTTAAGCTGTGATTGTTTCAGGCAGCTTTAGGTTAGGTTAGGTTAGGTTTGGTTAGGTTAGGTTAGGTTAGGTTAAGTTAGGTTAGGTTAGGTTACAGTACACTCTCGCCGAGACGAGATGGAGCAGGCGATGGCAAACTATTCGGAGGGAATTCCTTCCCCGCCCGCCGGGAGAAATATCGTACCTGCTAAAGGTAGAAAGTTGGTGAATTTGGACATTAGAAACGACCCCAAAAATGTTGGTGAATTTGGACCTGGCCGAGATACTTACCTTAAAATTCGAACCACGATTGAACAATAGGCTTCACTCCAATTAAAGTTAACTATTTCGTATTGCAACGTTAAAAGAAGAAATAATAACTGCCTAAACCTCATTCCTATTATTTCCAGCAAAAAGCCCTCTGTAACAAATAGAATTATGCATTTCCATATCACTTTACCAACATTTCGAAAACACCAGCAAGAGTGCTATTGGCCTATAATCAGTGACGCCAGCTCTGTCGCCTCGTCGTCGCGTATCAACACGTTATGCAAGATCGTTCCCAGGGAATCTCGGGAGAGGTGTAAGCCGATCATGTGGAAGTGATGGGGTAGATGTCCAAGGGGCCTGGGTGGGCTCCTAGGAGGCGACAGCTATCCGAGCACTGATTCACGCATTAGCATACGCCCGTGACCCGAGAGGGCCTCGTAGCTGAAGATGAGGCTGTCTCTCGTAAAGTGTTGACAATTACTTTAGAGTATCAATCGAAGGGATAATGATTGTTAGAAGTTTACTAAAGATGAACTTGGTGGCAATAGTATTTGTAGAGTATTGATCGAAAGGAATAATAGTGTTAATTTTTCTGAAATCTGAAATTAGGAGAATAGACTATAAGACTATAAAGATCGAAATATTGATAGGCAGATGATATTGCCAATCGAAATTATAGTTTGTGGTTTGTTTTAAATATGAGCTTATGCGATTATTCTAACGAATAATTAGTAAGCTCTTGTGGTACTAAAATGAGTTTTAGAATGGGTTTATGTTACAAAAAGGCTAAAAATGAACCCGATTAAAAAATTTTAACTGTGAAATCCAAGTTGATTTTAAATTGTTGTAAAAAATAGTTCTCAGACCGAGGGGATTTGCATGATTATGTTAGTTTGAAGCTTGTCTTAAAAATAAACTGTGATTATTAGACTAATGAATAATTAGAAAGCACTTGTTCTGCAATATTAAAAAAGTGGGTTTATGTTGCAATTAGTGCATTAATTTATTTGAATAAAAATATCGTCAAATCCTAGTTGTTGTTAAAGTTGTCTAGCAACTCGTTCTATGCCAAGCTTCATGCTCTAGATTTCCTATGGTAATATTTAAGATCAAGGATGTAAATTTTCTTATACCTAAAATTGTGTCTCAGAGAGATTTTTTCGGGCTACAAGTGATAAAGCACTGTCTTCTGTCTACCAAATATAATTTTGCTAAACCGTAATTGATTCCAACTCGTCGGTTTCCTTTAACCATTGCTAAACGTTACCTAAAGTTTCATCATGTTATATCAAGTCTGGAGATTTGCCCAGAAGTCGCAACAGTGTAGTTTGAAGACAGTATCGACTGGTCGTCTCCCCAATGGACGCCGCGACGCCGACGCCTGCGTGTAGCGTCGTTGCCATGACAACCTCTCCCTATGTACCGCCCCTCGTACAGCCAGCTCTCTGTTCCAAATATAATCATCCTACGTCTTCACCAGTTATCGTGTTCAGAAAGCAGAATCGTAGCACTGTTTGCTTAAATATGTATATTTGTTTTGCACAAGTCTGTTAATAAAAAAAAGTTGTTGTGAAGTATGAATTCGGAAAATGTATTATTTATGATATTACAAAAATGAGCCGTATGTGTATAGTTATATTAGGAATAAACCAGTTAAGACAAACACACTAAATATGGGAATCATAAACCCACTACAATATTGACCTAGAGCTCTAGTGAATTATCCACTTCCGCGCCATCACTTTGTTGGAGAACAAGTGAGAGCTTTTATGCGAAAAACTACTTGTTTTAAACTAAAGGTACGGCATAAAATTAATTTATTGCGTGGGAATTGATTGTCAATGATCAAGTCTAATTTCAACACTGAAATTACCATCTTTAGAAAATTACTTATAAACCTGTGTTTAAAGTAAATATACTTATTTATACGATTTTTGATGAACGATATGAATTATACAAAAATCATTACAGAATGTAGAGCAGGTTTTGGAGCATTCAATATGAATGTAGAAATTTTAAATCTTGCAAAGTGCTGGAGGGAACAGGGCTTAGCTTTGAAAATACCAAGACTTAAAATAAAGATTTATTTTAATAACATAATACAAATATTTAATCGAAAACTTTCTTGTAAAATGAAAACGAAGAAAGGCCATAATAAATTATGTACAATAAACTAAAGTGGTAGATGTAAAACATTTTAGACCCTTTAAATCAATAACGTTTATAAGAGATACTGAACTACAGTAAAAAATTGTTTTTGATTAGTATTTAACCAGTAAGTTGTCAACAAACAATTGCATTTGATTACATTTACAGAAATTGAAAAAAAACGTAAATCAAGATTTTAACATACCTTTTGTTTTATACACTATTGACAACTCATTAACACCAAGTTTCATCGAGACTATTGAAATCTAACATCACCTAACATAAAAATGAATGTGACACTGAGAGGTTATTTATCATTAAACACATGTTGGGGTCTGTTCACAAATAGTTGTGACACATAAAAAATATCGATTCTATCCTAAAACACAAATAATGGCGGTTCAGTTGTGATGACCGTGAGGCATCTCTGTTTTCTTGCGGCCCTAAAACAAAGAGTAATAAAAGAGTAATAAGTTACAAAGAGTAACACTCCACTTATTTTTATCTTGATTCACTGTGCTATGGAAGGTCAACTATGTCCATTGTTGCATTTATTGATGTCACACAGTTTAGTTTGTTATTCTATGTTTACTTAGAGCAGTAACTGTTACAGTACATTGGTTAGTTTAATAACTTGGTTTTATCTGATAAATCTGCTCACATCATAGAATTTGCGCTGAATGTATCGTATTTTACCAGGCTAATAACGTATTTAATACTTTTACATTGATACTGTACTGGGCTTATCGAAATGTCCTAAAAAATAAAAATAGTTTACTATGTGAGTAAATAAGTTCGAAATTTTAACATTTCGTTAGATATTTCATTTAGAACAAACAACCTAGGATAGATAATTTGATTTTAAGTATAAGCTATAAGAATATAAGCTTATATAGTTACATACTTCTTTTCAGAGTCACAATTTTCTGCATAAATATAAGAGAAGTCTGGTTACGTACGTAATCAAAACTATAAAGATCATTGCGAGAGTCAAAAATAAATATTATATGCTTCTTTAAAAAAAAATTGCTCAAGAAAATATGGTAAAAATAAAAAAAAATTAAGATATACACTGTATTACATCAATATTAGAGAAAACGTTAACATGCTAAATAGTTTAAACTTGTCTGAACATAATGGGTCACCAAGTAGAATTGAAGTGATATGCTTTCTTTTTTTACAAAATACCATAGAATTATTAAACCCTGTGATTATTAAAGGAAATGATAACAAAAGGACAATAATAAAAACAAAAGGAAATAATAAAAACAAACAAGTCATAAACAATATTTTTATTTTAAATACATGCTTTGGTAAATCTGTAATAAAACTATCTACATGCATACATAAAAATAAGAAAATGCAACATAAGAGTGAAATATTTACAAATTGAACTGATGAAATTTAGATTTTTTAAATATTATAAAATCTAACAGTTTATCATTTTTAATTTTGATTTTCGACAAAAAATCTATTAACAATACTGAAAAATAGTAATAAATTGAAGCATAATACATTTTAGATTCGAGTATAGTGCACGATTGTCAATCTATTAACAGGCTTATACGATAATATCAAACATTTATATTTAAAATACCAAAACTACCAAATTCCGATAATTTAACCATCGCTTCAACACTGAACACTACATAATCCAATTACCAATCAATGTCACAGCAATTATAATTTCCAGTACAAAGAGAGAATAAACACTACAATTCCGATTTACGCCCTTTGTTGACTGAGCTCTTAGGCAGTGCAATGAGAATTCTAACACTTGCGCGTCCCATAATCCTCAGCGCAATCGACGCTGAGAACGCCAGCCTGATCACACGAGAGATCCCTCCCGTCCGGGCAAACTCACGGACTACAGCTTTGGAGGATTAGTTTAAACTCTTCATGAGCTGGCATTGTTGTCAGGGAAACTATTCATTGTCACCGTCTTAACACATCAAGTGTGGCTATATATTAAGGAGAATGTAAATTGACTAAGTTCGAAATACAGAAAGACTTAGTAAATCCTGATGATCTTTAAACGTATCTGAATACAGCTCGTTTCTTTATATGTCCCTTAGCTTGGTTTACTTTGGAAATACGAACAGTTGTTTGATTCTTCGTTAAATGTGATAATTTAATTTCAACGCGACGGTGGAAAATATGATCAATGAGCTTGGTAGTTGGTAAAATAAAATAAATGGTTTTTACCATTTATTAAATTAAAAAAATGTGGTTTTACTTGTAAAAATATAGGTTGTTCGTTTAGAAATTCTGTAGTAACAAAAAGAAGTGTTAAGGGCTTGAATAAATTCAGAAAAAAATATATCCCAAATGTGCACATTGACTGCACAAAAATTATATTCACATCACTGTTTTTGGCACAACATGAATTAATAGACTACAGTATTTAGACAAAAGATTTGAATCCTAAGACCGGTGATTTTCACCCTATTAAAACTTCCTTACAACGTATTTAACCCTTGTGCAAGGGTCGAAATAATTATCTAATTATTCAGGCCAAAACAACCAGCACAAAGGAACAAAACAGTCATTTAACAAACTAACGACTGGTTTTTACGTGTCCGCGTCCCTTTAAAACAATGGCAGCGACAAGGGAAGGGCGTAGGGCCATTACAAGGGCAAAGGTCATTTAGCTGGACACAGCCCTTTGACTAATGTCCTTCACGCCCTGATATAAATAATACACATCTGCCAACAACCGGACTGCCAGGGCTATTTGTAAATGTCTACTATTCATAGGATGAATAATGGGTCGAGATCAATGCTAGTCTGGGAACGTAAAGGTAATAAACGTTCAAGTAATAATTTATACAGTTACTAACATGTTCAGTGTTGAAATGCACTAAGAGATTACATTATAAAGTTTAAACTTTTAAATAAGCATTAGGGTGACATACAAAACAAAAGTTTATAAAATAAAATCACGAAATTGTTTGTAAGATTTCCAAGATTTGTATGTAAAAATAAAAATAATATTTTCATGCTAAAATGGTTCATACATGACAGTGAATACTAAAAATATAAGAAAAAACCGGGAGTTAAAATTAACGTACATGCTTCAAGAACTATGATCACATTTCACTTGTTAATGATTTCTGTGACGTAAACTAACTCTTTTTAAACAAAATTTTCTATAAGACCTAAATATTTTGCACATTCATAGTTTGTATTTTAACTTTTAATACTACATTCATTCACAAACAAATCTTGAGATTTTTAAGATAATCTTTTTCAATCCTTTTTCCAAAACACCAAATATTCAAGCGTTTTCCACAACAGACAAGTGGGACAGAACGTAAAACTAAAATAAAATCTTAAACAAAAGCGTTGCATTTACATAACAAAACTGAACGTAACGATATGTACAAGACGTTGGGAGGGGAGGTCTACGGGGGTGTTAGTCCTACTTGTAAGCTAAGGCCGACCCTTGGCGGAGCCCCGTGACAACGTCCTTGGTGGTGCGTGGGCTGCTGAAGACCTCCACCCATGCGGAGCTGCAACAGAAAACCAGGAGTCAGTCGGGGACGTTGCTAGAGCAGGAAGGTGGGAGAACCGAGAGGTGGCAGTGGAACTTTGGGATAAGTAATGGAATTATATAAGGTTTAATAGGGAATAATTAATGGAGGATGTTACAGGAAAAAACAAGGTCTGCGATGTAGGTCAGGGCAGTAATGAAGAGAGTAGGGAATATGATAGGAGAATTGGGACAGAAAAATGTATAAAAGGACCAGTGAAGAGGATAATGGAGATAAACAGCAAACTGTCGCAAAATAAAATCGTGGAATTGGAAAAAAGTAATTGGTGTATTAAATGTATATTGTTTGCACAAGCACATCAAACAGTTCAAATGAGACAGCCTTATGTGCAATGATAGAAAGAACATTGTATAAGCAAAAGTAGGATCGAGTGTGGTAAACAAATAATAGTGTACAATTTTTATAAGAAGTTGAGAGACTGGAGAGGGAAGCCATGATTGATTCGGAGATTTTGTCACTTGTAGATGAATATGGTCAAAACGAAGTCAAAATGAGATTGGGACTAAAAAAGACGAATCTCAGAACTTCAAGTCAATAAAAGAGAGAGTGGTTGTGTAATATTATTATTTACTATTATTATTTTATTAATGTAGTTCTGTAGACCATAGATCAAAAATGATAAGAGTGTGACTTGCATGTCCCCCACCACATTTTTTATATAGCTTAAACAGGACTTTGTAGCAAGACGCGTTTCATTGCAGACCCATCATAAGACATGCGATGAAATAATTCTTCATGCAAACTTGCATATTTGTAAGTTACAGCTATAAGAAAATTATAATCTGCATGGTATTGGAGTAAGTTTTGTGAGATCTACACCAGTTAAATCTATATGGATTTGGACTAAAATTCTGCTGAACGTAAGAAACCTAAAACACCCACAATTCCTTTCATTTCATCCACCTTTTTAATTCCACAAATACCGACCATTAGGACCAGTGAGTAATGAAGACATTTAGAACTGTCGGAGGCGTCCAAAATGGCGAGGCCTCCCGGGGGCGATTGACATATTGACATTTTTAGCCCCGGGGCCCAAATTACTCCCGGGATTGTTTTTGGGGGCAGCAGGGAGTCCACGCCGCCCGTGCTGCGAGTTTGCATCAACAATGCTCCACTACGGGGCGCTCCAAACGTCCTTGTCACCCTTATGTTTTCTAATGTGTTGTATACATTATTAAAACTGCTGTTTTCACTGCCCGACGGGTGAATTACATTAAAGAAGATTGCGTCCAGGGATTGTCGGCTTATTGTTTGGAGTAAAAAACATTGACAAAGTGATAATGTGATCGATTGAAATTGATTCTTGATGCTTTGGCTGGTTTTCTTTATTGGTTTACTATAGGATTAGATAATTTGACAAAATAATAAGAGCGCGAAGAGATCAGAGATGTATTGAGACAGGGTCACTGACTTTATTAAAGTGTAAAATATACAGTATGGTATGCACATTACCTTGTTCTTTTTAAATAATCAGAAAATAACAAAAATTACTGAAAATAACAATAATGTTATTTTTAAGATTAAATCTTACATATTTAGCACTTGATTTAGCGTTTATTTGCCACATTCAAAAAGTAAAACAATTGTCACGATCTTAATTTTAATGAGAATTATTAACGTTTTAACTAAACTAACGTTCTGTACAAATAAGACACTGATAAGCTTCTCATCAATCAGAAAAGCTATGAAATCTTATTCTTAATATTCACCACATCCGGGAAAAATACATATTTGTTTTTTAAAAGTCCATATCATAATTTTGATGAGAATCGTGAAAATATGAATTAAATTAACGTTGAGTACACAGAGAGTACTCATCAAACAGAAGATAGCTCAGTAGGTAAATTACGAATTTGATTACTTCTCGAGGATCCCACCGCCTGCGCCTGCTCCGCGCAGGATGGACTCTCTCCCACGGTTTTTGTCAGGATTATCCTCAGTAGTTGTTTGCCGTACATTAGACGAGGTATCACCCTCCACCTACCTGCCCCGGGCACCTTGTTGATCTTCAAAGCGAAAATCCGATCATCCGTTGATTACCAGTCTAAATAATCATTATACTAAACCCTCCCGCGCCCCGGGATACGGCTTGTCACGGTTAGGTGCCTTGATTGGCGAGAATAGGTTCGACAAACTTTTAGAGTAACATTTGTGGCTTTCTACGAACCCTTGACAAATTAGATCTATTTTTCATATGTTTTTAACTCCTTTTTTGTTTCGAAATCCAGAAAATATTTTTACAGTTGGATTTACAACAATCTAATGTCGTAAACAATCAGACATTCAATAAAATAATTTAATCAAGCATAAATTTTAAGCTTGATGAAATTTGTGGGATAAAGTACAACATAACCGATGGCTTGTTGTGTTAGTCTATCCAATCAATTGTCATAGTAGCATGTAAGTCATCAAAGAAGTACATCATCTATAAGGATCTAAAGAAAAAGAAAACGAACAATTGTGAAGTCCTTTTGTACCATTAAAGAGGGATAGGAGGGTTCTTTATCACAAGTGGGGGAGAAACTTGCAGGGGTGTTGGAATTAGCTTGGGGAGACGATCACGGGGATTGTACACTTCTGATACATCGAGATCAGCAATTCATTCTGTACTATGATATTGTATAGCTGTAAAGAAGCGATGTGAAGGACATCCTACCTCTGGTGAATAAATAGTAGATTTTTTGTCTTCAGAAAATGTGTTGTTTGATTTTTGTTGGAACTTTATCGAGGTCTTCTACCACCGTTTGTTGTGAGTTTGGGATGAAAACAAATAACTAACTAAGTTTCAAAAATATCATTATTAACATAGTAAAATATATTCCAGGGGATTTTGAATCCATAGTGTAGTCACCATCCATATTATTTGTAAAATACCTTATGTAATTTAGATAAGTAGATTTTGCTGATCCAAATAACTATCGCCCCCAAGCCAGTTTACCTCCTATTTAACCACACTATCAGAGTAAGGGGTGAGGGGAGTTTAGTCAAATTGATAATCGGAGTGAGTTATGTTGCAGCATTTCAGCGCTAAGCCATATCGAGGGCCAAGGGCAATTAATTTAGCAGAGAACATATTCAAATATCAGCTTGACAAAGCGCTCTAAATATGCGAACCCGGGTCAAATCTGCGTATCGATCGCCATCCCGACAAAGGGCAAATCCTTTATCCGGAATTTAATTAAGAAAATACGCGTAGATTAGAGGGGGAGGGTTCATTCGGCAAAGCCTCCTAAATGGAAAACAAGTGCGATTGCGATAGGGGTGGCAGTGATCGCAACAATCGCAAGGAAGCACCTGCCTTCGTGATTACGTCGCCGTTTTGATCGTCACGCAACGCGCATATCAAGCAGGCCGTGTATGCGATGTTACGGCCTGCCACCCTTGCACCCTTGCGCGACGGATCATTAATTATGCGCTAAACGTGTTATCCGTGTTGGTGCGTATGTTTCTGTCTTCTAGTTTGTCAGCGCATAATCAAACTGGGCTGACTGGGTGCATTAGAGCTTTTTATAAGTTCCCTGAATGGAATATCAATTTTACTTTCTCTTTGGTCTCTCTAAACAAAACGTAGGCCATCTCTTCAGTATTCACTACTTCTTCACACACTAAGCTGTTTCCCTTGATCACTTAACAGTGAAAACACTCGTCAAGCGAGCGGTCGTTTTGCAACTTGAAAGGAGCAAAAGAGCTCACTTTACAGAGGAATGTGCACAAAGCTATCAGTGATGCAATCGTCCGCCTAAGCCGTTAATGCGGAGTGGACACAGGACAGTAGCCACGGGGGCGGATTCCCACGGACTACAGGTGCTTACTTCCAGGAACGCGGGGATGACACGGCATAGATCACGATCTGGAGAGGACAATGTCGCGAGAAGCCTACAAAGCAGTGGCAGGTGGATTTATAGCAGCGATTGGGATTGAGACGTCCTGGATCGATATATCACGTCCGGGTTTACGACTGATGAAAAGACTTTTGTCCGGCTCCCGTCTCTCCGGTTGTATTTACTCTATTCGGAAAGAAATGGATAAATCAAATCTTCATTGCGAGATGGGTGATAATGGCTTCCGGCAAGGGATAAAAAGAAGAACCTTTGATTGTGACACTTAAAGGCTTTGCATAATTTTGGACTGAGTTTTCTGATTATGTAATCGTTGCCTGCTAAAACTAGTTGAGAGGTTTCGATGTTAAATTTGTGCAACACTTCATGTCTGTGACCTTGAGGTAGAATGTTCCTTAAGAGTCTTCCGTAGTGGAAGCCATGTTGGATTTCTTCCCCATAAGAACAATGTTAACTTTGGGTCCAAATATCTCATCAGCAAATTGTCATATAATTATGGATAAGGAGTTAAATTTAAGGAATTGCGGTCCTCTAGAGATTGACGTTTTTTATTTCACAATTTTTAATTTTTATAATGAATAATTGATTATTAATTAGCTTAAAATTAAGCTAATTATTGAAAGGAAATGAAAATGGATTTTCGAAATTCAAAAACCTCAGTCACGAGTCTATTATGTTCAAAATACAAATTATAAATTGCAAAGCTATATCTTAACAAATAATGCCGTTACGTGTCCACAAATGATGTAATGTTTAACATTGTTCTTATGGGGAAGAAATCCAACATGGCTTCCACTACGGAAGACTCTTAATGAAGAAATGGTGTAATATTTAGAGAATTTAGTGAATAAAGAACATCTATTGATGTTACGAGTTATCTTGGCTCTCTAATTTTCCAAGAGCTGGCAGCGTAAATTACCATTTTGGTCTCTGCCATCACCCAGACAAACAGGAATAGATATACGATTGTTTTCGGCTATGTTAGACTATGCAAGTGAAAATAATTTACTGTACATACAAAACAGATTTTTTTACTTAAATATTATATATCATAACATCTAAGCGTGACGCAATATGAAATTATGCTTTAGTACTGGGAGTAAAACTCATATTTACCGCACAGCGAAATGTCCTTCAGGAAGCCCCTGTGAAATCAAATAGTCTAAACGTCTTTTCATACACGAAATTTACAGCCTATATCCCTGAAGTCCTAAATGGCGTATCACATATCCACCATTAATTTCCATCAGCACGCCTCGTCCAACAACACAGCGTTGTCCAGCAACAAAGGTGACACGGGGTAACGCTGCGATAGTTCAGCACAAATATTGTCGCGAGAGTTAAATGGGGTGCGAATGGGCAACGTGTCACCGTGATTTGCGACCCGGGGCACACAATGGGTGGAATGTGAGGAGAGCTTCATTTGGAACAGTGAAGCGGTGGACAGCTGCCTTCCAGCGGATTAGAACAGACAACCCTTGACTGAGATGTTACTGTGACTGTGGAGAGTGAAAAGGCAGCGGGCGTGAAAAGGAATTGGATTAGCTTGATCCGGAGGTTTCAGTCAAGGTGAACTTAAGCGTTGAGATCAGATTGAAAGTGTCAAGGAAGAAAGGATTTTTAGCACACGGTTTGTTTAGTCGAGAACCTTAAAGTTTGTTAGCAATTACAACCTAATGCATTTTGCACAAAATGCAATAACAAGAAATTAAAACAAAACTTATTAAACAACTCATTTAAATGTCAAAATGTAGTTTAAGTTATCGTGAGGTGTTTTTTCCTACCATGTGGAACGTAAAAATGAAATTCAAAATCCAACCAGTGGTTATCAAAATATTCATGAAATTGTTGACAAATTAATATCAACACAAAAGGCTATATGAAATGCCATTACCTACACCACTTACAAAACCAAAAGCATTTTTGGCTACAATAAGTCTTAAAAAACCAGTCTTGATACTTATATATATCCTTTTGATATAAAATGTTTACAAAAGGCCTTAAAATTATTTTCATCAAAAAACACATTGATTGACATATTTACGGTGTATCAAGGAGGCCCATCCTCACCCCCAAACAGTTTTCAAAGCAAAGTTTGTTTGAGCAGATTATGATATCCGAGAAGTTACCCCTACAATAATCTTGTAAGTAACAATCCGGCGGGAAGGATTATGATTGACGTGTTTGCAGACAGGGTGCAGGTGGTGGGGGTTGATCTAGCTCTGCACAGTCTAACGCCCCCAACCCTTCCGAGCCGCGGGGCCTGCCACTGCATCCGGCTCTCAATGTTTATCAACGGATTAGGCACAATTATCAATTCAAAGAATCTAATCTGGGAAGGGCTGCTCCGCTGAGAGAGCTTGTCAGGATAGATTGTTTGAAAGAAACGATTTTAGTGCGTAACAAATAGTTTATGGGCGTTTTGTGTCTTGAAATTGCAAATTTTTCAAAGTTAGTTTTAATTAGGGTTGGAAATGCTATATGAAAGGTTCTGCTTATTTGCGGTGTGTATGTTCAAATGATCTATTGAAACGCTAAAAGGTCACGATCAATTTTCTAATCACAGGGAATCGGAGTGACATGAGAAGAAAAGTCAAACTACGGCATTTCCTGAAAACCAACCCAAAGAACAAGGAAAACATTATTTGTTATATCAAACGGTTGATTTAAAATTTTATCCTCAAGATACACCAGATGTTTTGCAATATTGAAAGTTGGAATTTAGGCCTATACGAAATTTCCCATGATTCTAATGAGACGCAATGATTAGTAGATGGAAACATTATGACAGTTCAACCAATCTAAGGATTTTACCTCTAGGTCTTGATCTGGTGCTCGGTCCTGCTGACCTCTGTACTGTCTTTGCTTCTCCTCGAATTCTCTTAATCTGGAGTTGTATCGCTCGATCTGTTCCCTCAACAACGAGTCTTCGTACTGTGGAACAACAAATGACGTTAGGTGGAGTGTAAACTATAAAATCAAAGTATATCAAGCAGAAGTGTCTCTTAAAATGTTCGTTGCTTTGAAATTTCATGAAATTTTGATTAGACTGCAATCATGACTCGCGAAGAGCAATGAAAACTACATTTCCGACTGTCTAAATTGTTGGAATATAAATTGGTTGAGTCAATTGTAAGTAATAAATCAATGCGTTTTACTTACCATTGCCTTTTCTTCGTCAAACTCTAGACAGCCGACGCCGTCTAGCCTCTCCAGATCGACCCATCCTCTCCATCGCACGCAGACGCCGTTCATGATGAAGTGGGACCTGATGTGGACCTGCAACAGGTGATTTTTTTGTTAATATCGCAACATATAAGTGTACAGCTATTCCGGTTTTAATGGCTGAAGGTTTTATTAACAACTCATTGCTTCAATTTGTTTGAGTGACGTGATAACTCAAAGAGGCCGCTCTCGTAAATGAGTTCTAATGTTACTTCCAAACACAAACAGTCAAGGAACATATGGTACATTCAATGCGTAAGCCACCAATAAACAAAGCTACAAAATGGTGTTCCGAGCAATCCTGAAACCTGCATTAAAGTGTATCGGATTGAAACGTAATTCGATTAATGAAATATGCAAACAATTACAAAGTAGTAGGCCTAGTTGGAAGCAAAAACTGCACAAATAATTTAAAACCTGCCCTAATGGACTCGTCAAACTCTATTTGATCCAATCAGACTTTCTCAACCCAATGTAATACAATTTCCGTCTCTACCGAATAAAACGGTTTCACAGAAGGTTGAAGTAAGGAAATTCTAAGGACAAAAGTCTCCCCCAGACAGGAGTGTCGATTTGACACAGACATCAACAGAAGTCAGACGAGCAGCGAAGCGCGACCGTGTTTACAATAAGCATTATTACAATATCAAGCCGGACGGCTATTGTCGGAAGTTTTCGGCCATTGTCGGCAGTTGTCGGGTAATGATATCCGGTGACGGATGGTCCAAAGCCCCCCTCCAGGTGTTGCTACTCAAGAAGACCCTCTTGTGGAGATTGACTAAATAGGGGGTCACTTTCAAGGGCCGCTTTCAAACTCGATCGGCGTGAAATCCATTGTAATTTCGGATTTGTACACATATCCATCAAATTTAGATTGCGATAAAGTCGTCACATGGCAAACGCCGCATGACAAATTGTGAAAACGCAGCTCGTGAATTTGTGTTTCTTAGGTTACAATGAGTGTAAATTGCCCAGAAGCTTACTCCAGTGTATGGAGTAGGCAACGATACAAACTAGATAAGAGGGAGAAGGTAGAGAAGCACATTCAGACAGAAATATAATTTAAAGCAGCATACTGTCGTCTGTAATTGATTCAGCTACGTTCATTTTTATGTAAACTGGCTTTAAGTCTTCCATCGGAGTGGGATGTTAGCGTCCAAAAGATCGTAAACCCATCAGAATAGATTACAAATACAATTTCAAGTTTATATATTGATACATTTCGAGTTTAACATTTACACTTTTGTAGGATTATCGGTACTTTTGTGAATAAATCAATCAGTATCTGTTCCGGCACTGGTTATAGCCACAATAAAGAGTCGAGCCAACAACATTTCAGGCAGAGGGACGATAAACTAAACAAATAATAGAAACGACTGTTTACAAAGCCGACACGGATTTGGCGTCTGGCCGTTGCGTGAAGTACATTAACTGGTCCAAATTAGAGTTTAGTGTCGACAGTGTGAAAAGAAAATTTGGTTGAGAAATCCAAGTGATGTGTAACACTAGTGCTTCTAACGGAAAATCGAAGCAAAAATACCTTCTGTCAGTCGAAAATGCATCCAAACCATATTCACTACTCTCATATCACACTTTATAAGATACAAAACGGTAAGTGTCTATGGTATTTTATTGTGTTGTACCAATGGTTCTAGTAGAACCAGAACTTTGTTTTTCTTATCAGTTACTCGAGTAATATTCTTGACTTAACATTCGTACCATCCACTTTTCGTGCTGCATAAAAATGTGGTTATTGTCAATGATCATACTAACACTTTTTCGTGGGTAGGTTAAAAGTTCAGAACACAGCTCATTAACACAGTTACCACGTCCACATTTGGTCTTTTTGACAGTCCAGTTGTCCCTAAATGAACCTGGCGTGTAACTAAATTTCTGGAGAAAATCCCAAAACATTTGCGAATGCGAAAAGAAAGAATCAACATAAAAAAGATCTTTTACACCAACAAAAGGTCCATCGGAGGCGTTTAAAACGATGCTGTGACCTTTTTAGGATTCATTTCTAAGGAAAAAGAAAGGACATCACTGCCGACAAAGGCGTTCAAAGTGTGCCTGAAGAGGAAAAAAAGAATCTGTAGATTAAATCTGAAACAGTCCTCGAGGGGTCGTCAAAGGCAAAGGCAACTAAGAGAGGTCATTGCTATATCACTTTCAGCGAGATATATATCAAAAGAATCCCTGACAAAGACGTACAAAGTGTCCTTCTTCACAGCAAGGATCTGTTGTTTGGCAGGTACGGATACAAGGATCTATTGTTGAGACTCTGGACTACTTTATTTGATACCGGATACTATAGCAGAATCTAAAGTAGAATAATGTACACACCAGAGAGCACAGAATAGAAATCCTGTGCTCTCTGGTACAAACCTAGCTATTAAGGGATCAGTTATACGATGTTTATAAGCTTATGGACAAATTTCACAGTTTTTGTTTACACCCAAACGCACTCGTTTCAACGTACTAATCAATTATTGATTAAAATATTCCCCTTGTCTCAGAAGCCATATTTCTTTCTAGCTAGTTGAACCGACAGCGTTTAATGAATGTCCGTAATCATCAAGCAAAACAATTGTTATTGGCTTCGTTTTATTTTCAAACCTTTTTAAATTTTTTGAAATATTATCAACATTGCTTTGACATAGTTTTAACGAAGGACTGTGTTAAAATTAAAACTCCGTGGGGTGCATTAAAATAATAATTATTGTTTACTTTCCATGGTTCTAAAACGACTTGAATGCGTGGTTGTGATGAAGTCAATGTTTTTGAGAAATTTGGTGAATTTTGATGAATTATTTCATTTTTAACGTTTTATTTTTTTACTACCTGAAAATACATTACGTATGTTGTTACCTATTGTATATGCATAACCAAATGTTTTCTAATTTCCTTGACTATTGTTTTACACGATAGCCTTGTGATAGAGAGTTATTTGTAAAACAAACTGAAATGTATTATCACAAATTCTGAACATTTTGCTGTGAATCTAGGAATGAAAAGACCCTTGTCACCTATCCATATCAGTCTGTCAGCAGGCATTGTAAAACGGAGAAAGAACTGGACAGGAGGGCCAAAAGTCGAATCTACCCAAAGGAAGTGTGTGTGGATTTGTGTTCAAGAAGAAAACGGGAAAAAATATTTATCACAACTCTCCCAATGTTTCTAAACATTACTTTTAACATGTTATTTGTATTACAGTTACATAACTACAATCCATACAAGTCTAAGCGTATACTGTTTGCTTATCCTTCTTTCATATGCTGATAATATAAAGCTTGCAATAATAATATTAAGCTTTTTGCAATCGTTTGAAGTTTCAAAGAAATTATTACAACGATTATAACGTCAGGCAAGCACAAAACATTGTTCGGCATGTTTTACAACCTCTTTTTGCTTGTTAGCATAACTTGGTCTTCACAGCCGCAAAAACTGTGGTGTGAATTGTCGGGGAAATAAATATGTGCACTCGAGTTTGAGCCTAAATATCTCTGAGATGAATTATCAGATTTTGTTGAAACAAAAATTAAATGTAAGTTTGTTTAAATACATTTTACGTGGTAACAATTTAAAAATTTTCCGTTTACCAGAAAAATTTATATAGTTGAAAGATCCTAAAAAGTACCGGTTTTTAAGGAACTCTGCACTAACACTGAACTTTAAAAATTAATTGTAAACAAACCACTGAGCCAATCTTTCTGAAATTTTTATGGCTTATTGGTAGGTTTATTGTTAACATTTCCATGCATTTTAAAATTTTTACTCACAATAGTTTTTATGCTGCTGTTAATTTTTAAAACCTATGCTAACATCGTTAATAAGACGCTAAAAATTTCGTTCAAAATACCATCGTGTTTGTCGTGACACAAGAAATAACACCAATATGATAGATTTATAATGCGAACAAAGGTGTTTTTAAACAGATTTATATTTGTAAACAAAAATTTCTCCCGCGACTGGCAGCGGGCCGCCTGGTGTGCGTACGATATTTCCCAGCCGGGCGGGAGCGCGGCGAATCTGCGACGTTGCCGATGTGTACCTGGCCAGTGGCCACCACACTGACATTGCATGGGCAGCCTATTCACTCACGGCAAACAACTTTGAAAATCAATATTTAGCTTCTGCCTTAATTTTTCGATCGTTGGAAACATTTTTTGCACGTAAAAATCATATAAGTACCTTCGTATCGCTCCCACGGTAAATTGGTCCACATTTATCCTTGTTCCGATGTTAAAACAATTGGCCACATGATCATACACGGGATAACGTTTGTCACAGCACTTTTCTTTTTCCGCATGAAAGAAACAAATCGCACTAACTATCATCTGTATTTCACCATCGAAAAAATTCCGGCGAGGAGCCATTTTCGAATAGATGTTACCGACCGGTGTAAAAATCTAAGACGAACTGGTTAGCTTGGTTAGTCATCTCTCATAGCGACCATAGTTCAAGAAAGGTGGGAGCTAATGTTTACATTCCATTACTCATCGGATATTCCAGCTGAACGCAACACTTCCCGGAAAGGGTGATGACCGCTCCGATTTCTACTCTCAGTTGTATATTTAAAAGTGGCAAATTAAAGAAACCATAAAATAAATACTGGTGGAAAATATTTACTTGGCGTTTAGCTGTTATAATTTTTTAACTAGCTCAATCAACACAAAACAGTTGGCTTGTTGCTTGTAATACAAAATTAATTTTTCATACCACCATAGTTAACTTATTATAATGTATTTGTTTCATGACTAGTTAATTAGAATATATTGTTAGTAAATTTATGTAAATTTCAAACTAAATATTGATATACACAGTTGTTTGCCGTGAGTTAATACCGATGCAATGTCAGTGTGGTGGCCACTGGCCAGATACACATCGGCAACGTCGCAGATTCGCCGCGCCCCCGCCCGGCTGGGAAATATCGTACGCACACCAGGCGGCCCGCTGCCAGTCGCGGGAGAAATTTTTGTTTACAAATATAAATCTGTTTAAAAAACGCCTTTGTTCGCATTATAAATCTATCATATTGGTGTTATTTCTTGTGT